AATGTAAACAATTAAAAATAGATATTATTATTTATATATTTTGATGACATTCAAAGTAAACTTATTATGTTTTTATAATTAATGTATTTTTAAAATCATTTATTTACCGATGATTTCGTGCCAAACAATTCCCATAATTATAGCATTTGAGAATATTTTCAATATAATGTACTAATAATACCAGTACTTGTACTATCAAGTACAATTTCTGGGAATAAAATTAATTATGGTGACATTTAAACAATATAGTAATATGCGTACTCAAAAAATCAATATAAACTAATACCCAGATATTTTATAAAATGTTTAATTAAAGTCATAATAATGTTAATTCAAAACAATATTAAAAACTGTAATCAATACTTTAATCAATTAATTATACAATTGCTTAGTGAGTAAAACAAGTATAATTGGATAGTAAACCATAGTTAAGAATTATATTAGAAAGGATTAAAACTTTTTTTAAACTTTACATATACACGCCAAAGTTACCCTGGATAAATAGCTTGTCAATAATGGTAATAAACTGTCAAACATTATCTATAAGTACGTAACCTTCGGGCAAACTTATGAACCAATATATTGAACCGTAGATACTATATAATTATCTGAAAAATAATTAAAATTATATAGATTACTACCATGATCAACACAAACACACACACAGACACACACAATACATACTTTGCTTAGCACATCAAATGTGATGACCACTGTTGGGCCAATGGTTAGGCCAATAGGCGGTGCCCAGCGTTGGTTCAAACTCTCGGCAAACACTGTTAGCCTCCACTTAAGGCCCGGAGCGGCGCCCAAACACCACTGCAGTCGTGACAGTCGGCCATACATTGCGTGCATTTTGCGGGAAAACACTGCGAAATAATACTAAACGCCAAACAACATAACAAACTGACACATTATGGCCACACAGTATATCATACGATAAACTAACAACATATTGTCAAATACAACCTGGTGACACCCTCTTCGGCCAACTGTTGGTGTAGACGGTGTGGCGAACTCCGTGGGAGACTCTGTCCGGCCAGTCGTCGCTGATAATTCTCTCGGGTGAGCAGACAGTGGCGTTTCGGGTGCCGTTCGCCTACATTGCTGAGTGCGAACCAACGCGGGCGCCGATTGTGGCCAAACTCCGGTGCCATGAGCCGGAGTTGGCCCTCCTCGACCACAACCAAACCACCTTGTTGGATTAGAGTACGATTGTGGGTGACGTCCGACACAGCGTCCATATATGGGTCGACGACCACCAGTTTGGCTCCGGCGCACACATACAGCGCGAATCGCGGGTGCGGTCGAGTGGCCACTTGTGTCAACTCCCTGTCCATACAGACGTCGGTCAGCTCATAGACGGCGCCCCTCTCGTGATGCCGATCGTAGGGCTCGCGACGGAAGTAATACCGATCGCCCGATTGATACTCTCCGAGACCGAAGTGGCGATACATGAGACCGACGGTCAGCCAATAGAAACCGCAGTGATTGACGGCTCGGGTGGAGTCGGGCGCCGCCACTCTATCCCACCGGTCGTAATAGGGCTGCGCCAGTGAGTCGGGCGTCGCTCGTGTCCGCGCCATCTGCTCGTACCGTATGGTAGGGTAGAGTTGGTGTACGCGCAGGGGTTCGGTCGCCTCAAACGTCAGGCTCTTTGACAACTCGAGGCACACCCATAGCAGAGCACCCGTACGGGTGACGAACACGTGTGGGCCGTACTGTCGCCGAGCGGTGCGCCTCCAGAACTGTTTGATTTGGTTGTCGTCAGTCATGTCGAGCCACTGACCGCGACATTCAGTCCGACCCAAGTATGGCATACCACTGGCCCTCACCTGAAACAAGCGTTGTATGCCGTGCTGTTGTCCGCCCGACTCCCACCCGCTCTGTATGAGAAGGTATGGGTCGGTGGCGTCCAGGAGTCGGCCCATTCCCGGTGCCGTCGACTCGACGATAACCGACACCTCATTCTCGTTGTGTCCGCTTTGGAAGCGCCGTAAAGACACGATTGGCAGTCGTATCACTCCCTCCCAGTCCACTGACAGTGCATTTGCGGCCATCTGTTTGAGTCTCCTTTACTGTCAAATTGCTGTCTACTGTTGTGTCTGTGCTATTGGTTTGAGATATGTCTGAGTGTTTTGAACACAGCGTTTGGTATGAATTTGTTTACTCTATGATTTGTTAATTGTTTTTTATTTTTTGGCTAATATTTTGTTAGAATTTAAAATTGTTGTTAACCTTTAATTAATGTTTTTAAAGTATCGTAGAATTGAAAAATAGTTTTGTATTTTCCATAAAACACAAACAATTTAAATATTGTTTGAAAAATGAAAACACAATTTAAAAGTAAAAGCATTTGAAAGAAAAGTAAAACACAAGACATCGGATCCCAATCGCAGAGACACAGAGACGGGAACTACAGCTTCAGCGGACACACACTCATAGACACCGATAGCAAAACCAGAGACCAAGTAATCAGTGATGTCTTCACAAAACAACAACACTGTGACCATCGAAAAGGATGGACTGCATCGGCTCCGGATCGCACCCGTCAGGAGGTTCACGTCGGACAGACAGTCGTTTAGGGTAAGCTTTACCAAACTCAGACAGGGTGTGACGACCGGGGATCGCATTGAGTTGGACGCCTACGACGCCTACATGATGTTACACGGCATACACAAGTGCCGGCAATGGTACGCATGCCGAGTGAGCGGTCTATTCTACGCCGGCCCGCACAGGGATATGGCCGGCCATCGCGTGCGTATGACTGACGCAACGGGCGATCAATTGCGGTATTGGGTATACCACGCGCGGCGTCAGTACGGCGTACACCTGTACTGCGAACCGGTGGGCGCACTTCAGACGGTGACCCAGCAGTTGAACGATGACGACAAGTTTCAGGTGGTGAAACAGGCGCCCGTCCATCAGTTGTATCCGTGCGTGCGGTTCGAGATCGACGACAACCCCACCCCTTGTCCGCCCCCAAAGACCAGAGTTTACGCCAACAGCTGGGATGTGACCATTGCTGGAAACTGCGAGTCATTTTGTATGCCCAAAACGGCATTCGCGGGCCAACGATATGTAGCCCACTATTGGCTGTGCGCGGGTCTGGCGTTCACGAGGTTCGGGCGCAACGAGTACGACACTCTCGGCGACCGGTATTACACGCGCTCTCCGGGTGTGTACTTTGATAGGCACCGATGGGGTGGCGTCAAAGAGCTGACCGACGGGAACCGGGAGGATGTGATCAAACAAATGGGTGCGCCCAGGTTTGCGCTGTATGTGTGCGCCGGCGCCAAACTCATCGTAATGGACCCGTACAGGAAAGATGGCCCCCACCCCGAGGGCAATGAGCACAACTGCACCCTGGTGCAAGCGGGCGGTGTGGTGGTGGTCGAGGGGGAGCTCGAGCTGATGGCGCCCGCGTACTGCGAGAACAAAGCAAATATTCGCACGTTTCGGCTCCGGGACTACGCCAACGATGGCGACAAAACCAAACCCAAGTGCCTCCTGTCGTCGACGAGTCCCGAGTTGGACAAGACGTCGATCACAACACTCAAAGTAAACCCATCGGAGCCCAACACCGAGTTGGAAGCGTTGTCCAAATACGACTGTCCGGTGCTATTCCTGGGCGCCAATGAGTCGGAGTACGGCTCCATCGCCTGGTTTCTCAACATTTACCACGAGGTGAGCTCTGAGGACCCGCCGGCCCGCGCGTCCTCTTCTAAGCAAAAAGCGCCGCCAAAAGTAGTTCACTGCGAGTCTGCGAACCGGCGCTGCTTTCTAGAGATACCACAGGGCGGGAGGTTTGAGGCCATCGAGGACTGGGACACCACTCATGGCTGGCAAGAGGTGTGCGATCGGCATCTGTACGAACGACTACACGAGCCCACCGTCGAGATGGTCACTCAAGACTACATCCATTCGGGCAAACGGTTTGCGGTGCCGACGGACCGGGCAATGCAGGAGCGGATACTGGGCATTGGCACAGACCGCACCATTTCCACCAACATCTATCTCATGGGCTCGCCGGTGGGCGGCCATGACGATTTTGTCCAGCCCCCCCCCCCCAAACAGTTTACACAGTAATACAATTGCGAGGGAAAGGGAGAGACAATAGCGTTGCTTCAAATCTATCATTCATTTCTATTCAAACAAATGTATTGAAATATTAAAACAAATATTGGATTTTTTAGAAAATACTACTTATTTCTGCGTATAAATCATATCAATACACACTTACAAAATGCACCGGCAGTACATGAGGGTCGACACAGGGAGCTAACACATACGCTCGTGCGTTACATGGATGAGCATGATCACCTGTGCAACACTTTGAACATGGTTAAAGTGTGTTGCAATGGGTTGTATATGTTGATCCAAGTGACCATATATCCCATATCATTGATCATGTTGCATCAAATGTTGTTTGAAGCGAATCAGGTGCTGGTCATGTTACAGTTTTTATATTTAGGTGGTGTAATCATAACATTGTTAATGCTATTCGGGGGTCAGTATGTGTTGGCCTCGTATTCACAGCGTTTGCATAAAATGCACAAAAAGTTATCACGACTTCGGATCCCAATCGCAGAGACACAGAGACGGGAACTACAGCTTCAGCGGACACACACTCATAGACACCGATAGCAAAACCAGAGACCAAGTAATCATTTAAGCTTAAGTTAATGATGTGTTTCGAGAGACTCAGCAATAGTCGGAAACTGGGCTTTAATATCGGCCACTGGTTTGTCATGACTTTTCCCATTTTCATGAAGGTATGCATCATTTGGTTTAAATTCTGTTGATATAAATTATCCATAAATTTATTTTTACTTTTTCCTATAAAGTGTTTTATTGTATTTCCGATATTTTCTATTAACACATAAATTTGCCAATAAATTCAAAATATAATTATTTGACTTTACGTTTTGTATATGTATTAAAAGTATATTATATTAAATGGAAGTATGACATGAGCTCGAAAGACACGAGCTTGAAAGTCATGAGCTCGAACCCCAATAGGTGGTATCACGAAGTACCTTGGTCACATCGGCTGATGTTATGGTGCTGGGCATTCGTTCCCACACCAAGAGGAGATTATCTGGCAGTAAATGGATTGGTGTGCCCTTGGTGAAGAGTATATAGTCAACAATCATAAACTGATTATTATAGGTACCGCTGTTATAGCGACCAAATATGTCGGTCCATTGCCGGCCCCCAGTGGCCAACCGATTGGCCACAACAGTGCGAGCAAACTCTAACACAACTTGATTTGGTCGTACCGTAGAGTACAGGGATTGGTTGAAATTATTATTAGTCGTCTCTTGAACTACGAGTCCAGAGGACAGGACGTAGTAGTCGTCACCGGAGAAGATGAACCCCGGATAGGAGGACATCGATACAGAATGACCCGGTATTAAAGTGCCTGTAGTTAAACTCTTGAATGCAAAACTATACTGTTTCATTATCCTAATCATAATACCATAAGGAAACCATAAGTTGTGAGCTACGTATAAATCACTGCTATCGGGCAATACTTTGACCAAAGCTAAACAATGATCTTGATGCGGTATTGTGGTCGAGTTAGGTGTAAGTATTGCCTCTAACTCAGATGTTTCAAACATCAGGTTTAACCACCAGATTTCACTCATCACATTTGTTTCATTAGTTTGTTGAGTGACGTTATTGTCAGTCTTCCAGTTTTCATACCCGGCCTCTAAGCCCTGGATCTGATCATAAATGAGTGCCATTTGGTGCCAATAGTCGTCGTTCGCGTGACTCGAAATCATAGTATTGATAAAAGCGGTGTTTGTCTTATGAAAAGTCTTTAACGCATCGCAAAATAGTTTGCGTTGACCACAAAACCCGTCGATTACATTGTGATAATGCATATGAATGAGTCCACCCGTTATGTAGCCCTCGAGTCGACCCGACATATATGCCTGAAGACTGTTGTTTGCAAACGTATTGTAAGATTTTAACTCCAGATCAGCCCATCTATAACATTTATTTATAATTATTTGTTTTAATTAATTAAATTAATATAATTTATAATTACCCTGTTACATTTACGTTATTTTCGTATATAATTGTTGCCACCGTATTGTCGGGCAGATCTTCAATCGTACGATTGGGTGTTTAGCGCGTATATATTGTACCATTGCTTACAATGTAATGCATAACAATTTACGGCATATAAAATTACGTTAATTATTAAAACCCTATAATTCATGTTTATCCTATTAAGAAACTTTATTTTGACAAAACTAAATAAGATTTAATTTAACACCGATGTTTTATTATTTAAGTTTTTAGTATTACTACCATAATTTAATAAAGTGAATCACATTATCATAATTGATTTAAAATCAAAATACTATTGAAATAGTTTTGGACTTGATAATTTTACAAATTGAATGCAATCGAGTGCTGAAGGGCACATATTTATACTGTATAATGATTATTACATATAATAATACACATTATTTCAATGTATCAAACAATTTAAGAGTTTTGGTGCATATTAAGTAAATACTTTAATACAAGTATTATACTTTGTATGCACAGGTGCTTTTACTATAAATTTCAAATATGAAACAAATAAATTATGCATAAAATTGCTAATTTTAAAATGAAATGTCAATACAGTATTAATACATGTTTTGGAGAGAGAGAGAGAGAGAGAGAGAGAGAGAGAGACCAACAAATTAAGCTAGACAACAATCAAATGCAAAATAATAATAACATAAATAAAGAATCTAATGCTAAATAAAATACAAATAACAAATAAAAACAATATTATTTTACAATAAAAATAAATTTTTATTTTACAAATAAATTCATATATATTACAAATACTGGTATACACTTGGTATAAATGGGTTTGAAATCAAACACATCGGGGTGACCGATATGTCTGAGCTCAGCGCCGGCACCACTAGTAGACCAGCGGAACGGCGGCTGCTGTCGATGTGTGGGCCCACTCACGGCCAACATCTCTAACCGCGCGGCCATATCCTTGTTGATCATTTTTGCGTCCATAGCCCCAGCGATAGCGCGACCAAAAATATATAGGTATTGGCCGGTGGGTGAGTTCAAGTCATGCCTGACCGCTATGGCAAGCTGGCCAGCATAACCTGGCTGACACTCTTGGTGGTAATGGTGACACTGTGATAAAGAATCATGTTGAAAGTTGTTGTAGCGCATCAGTGAATACAATGTGTTCAAGTTGGTCACGGTACTTTGATCTCGTTTAAATATAAGTGCCCTGGCTGTTTCTTTGTAACTAAAAAATTCACCCCATTTTTCAACCAAACCTCCGGTTCCGCTCATGTTGTATATGTTTTGGAAATATGGCACATTATACGAACCCCAATATGTGGTATCACGGAGCACCTTGGTTACATCAGCTGCGGTCACAGAAGCTAGGGCTTTGCATAAATCACCGTGTTTAGTTAGGTACACCTCGATGATTTTGCTTAAATTATCTTCGTGTAAGTGTAAAGCAGATAGTTTAAAGGTGATAATTTTATTGATTGTGTTAATTCGTAATAAAAAATAATAGACAATTATAAATACTATGGTCACTCCAATTATAGCGTCGGCATAAAATAAGTTTAACACAATTATTGATTGTATTATAAAGGGTAAGGCGAGCAGAAATTGCCACCATTTGTAATATGTAATAATTATTATCATGTAAAATAGTGTAGCAGATGCACCTTGTTGCATTTAAAAAATCAATTATTACATTAATAATAAAATTAATTTTAGTAAAGGTTAAACATAATTTTACATCTATTTAATGACTTACAGAACAATACTAAATATATGTTGAGTATTTGAAACGCAAATCGTGACAACATAATCAATTTATGTACAGTTTGATCATCAAAATAGGTGCCCCTGTCGTGCCTTCTCATGTCCACCGGTGCCCGCATTTGAGCAAATATTTGCTGCCAAACAGGTGTCCGACCAATGGATCCATTGCCCAGTAAATGAAACTTGATATTTAATATCAAACCAAATGTGAGGGCAAATATAAACTCCAGGTTATTATAAGTGTAAATACCGCCGAGAAATAAGGGTAAGTCATATAATAATAGCTTTGTTTCGTAATTAAAACCGTATAATAAACACAAACAAAATTTGCATATAATTAGTATATAATTAATTGTTATAATATATCGAATAAGTTTAGATCTATTTAAAAATTTATGACTATAGTCAACATGATTTATTTCATTCAGATAGAAATGAACTAGATTACTATTTGCCACATGATTACTATGATAATATCTATTTTTTAATTCGCCAACTAATCTATTAACAAACTGAATTTTAATTATATTCATTGTTATAACATATTATAAATTATTAACTTATTTGTTAATAACACATATTATTTTATAAAGAATATACACTCAATCTCATTATAAAGTCCGGTGAACACTTGCAAATATTTCGAGAACCGCTAAGGCAATCGACTTGCCGTCTTCATGGATCTATTACCAGATAATCCACGCTCAATAACTCCATTGACACTATAAGTCGAATGTGCATACTTATTGAGCTAGATAAAGTTTAAGGAAAAGTTAAGTTTTAAAAATCGAAAAAGTGACATTAGAACTGACTATAAAAAGTGACTCAACAATCGATTTGTATAAATTTAACATTATTTTAAATGGACGATTTAAAAAACTTAATTTTTACTTAAACTTAACCTAGCTCAATAACTATACATATTAGATCTATAGTCTCAATGGGAAACCTGAGCGTGGATTATCTGGTAATAGATCCATGAAGACGGCAAGTCGATTGCCTTAGCGGTTCTCGAGATATTTGCAAGTGTTTACCGAACTTTATAATGAGATCGAGTGTATTAATAAATATATACTGTGTAGGTCACTAGTTAGTTTAATAAATTATATAATGTAAACAATTATAAATAGATATTATTATTTATATATTTTGATGACATTCAAAGTAAACTTATTGTGTTTTTATAATTAATGTATTTTTAAAATCATTTATTTACCAATAATTTCGTGCCAAAACATTCCCATAATTATAGCATTTTAGAATATTTTAAATATAATGTACTAATAATACCAGTACTTGTACTATCAAGTACAATTTCTAGAAATAAATTAATTATGGTGACATTTAAACAATATATTAATATGCGTACCCAAAAAATCAATGTAAACTGGTACACAAATATTTTATAAAATGTTTAAGTAAAGTCATAACAATATTAATTCAAAACTATATTTAAAATTGTAATCAATACTTTAATCAATTGATTATACAATAGCTTCTGAATAAAACAAGTATAATTGGTTTGTTCGGACAATACTTAACAAATCTTGTATACATTTATAACTACAATTATTTTACATTAAATATTTGTTATTAATTAGAAATGTTAAAACTTTTTTTAAAACTATACACGCTGAAGTTACCCTGGATAAATAACTTGCCAATAATAGTAATAAACTGTCAAACATGATCTATAAGTACGTAACAGGGCAAACAGGACCTTCGGGCAAACTTATGAACCAATATATTGAACCGTAGATACAATATAATTATCTGAAAAATAATTAAAATAATATAGATTACTACCATGATCAACACAAACACACACACAGATACACAATACATACTTTGCTCAACACATCAAATGTGATGACCACTGTTGGGCCAATGGTTAGGCCAATAGGCGGTGCCCAGCGTTGGTTCAGACTCTCGGCAAACACTGTTAGCCTCCACTTAACGCCCGGAGCGGCGCCCAAACACCACTGCAGTCGCGACAGTCGGCCATACATTGCGTGCATTTTGCGGGAAAACACTGCGAAATAATACTGAACGCCAAACAGTATAACAAACTGACACATTATGGCCACACAGTATATCATACGATAAACTATTAACATATTGTCAAATGCAACCTGGTGCAATAGTATCAAGTTCATCGGGGTTACTATGATCAAAAATGCTAGATACACGTAGCACCAGTAACTGTTGAATCGCCGTAATTGCTGGCATAGGTACCGGTGTTGGGCAGCGTAGGCGGTCACTGATGGGCCTACTCGTGCGGCAACGGTGGCCATGGATTCACCGGTCCGTCTGTACACCCGTACCCACCGGAGCCGGTCGTTGATCTGATCCACTCGCAGATGTATGTAATAGCATAAGATTACCACAAATGTGCCGCTCACTAGTGTGTCGCTCATGAATGTCAGCCAAGCCGTGTAGGTAAGGATTGTTGGGATTATTGCCAGAATGAATTGTTTTATATTATAATAAGAAAGTAATATACCAATGATTACAAGTGTTGTGCTGATTGCTGTATAAAAAAATAATGATGTTAGAAATTTTGTAATTTATGTTCATTGAGTTAAGTAATTGGTTTAGTCACATAAACATGGTATAGGTTAACATTGTTTTAGATTTAGGGAAATATGAAAAAATAATAAACAATTAATTATGACTAATTAAATACGATAAATATTTATATAACTAAATTTAATGCTTACCAAAAAACATGACCAAAATATTTAGCATTTTATAGCATTTATGTGAAAATTTAGCTAATTTTACAAACAAAATATTGTCGGGTGTATTGAACAGACGCGTGACAATTGGCATTCTTAACATTGTGAACAGTTGTGTCCATTCGTGTAGGTCTAGATGGTTTGCTTCGAGCACTCGGAACTTTGTATTCAGCGTCAGGCCATAAATAAACAGACTGACCATGCACAAATTAGTGTATATTGGTATTTCACCGTAAAACAAGCTTAAATCCACTATTATTAACCTTGTTTCGTACTCCATGTTCATCGATATACTGATAATAGATTTTACTATTAATATGATGTACACTATTGATAGGGTATGGCCGGTAAAAGTGACTACCGGTGCTGACCATCGGTGACTGCCAGTGCTGTATCGGGTGTTTAATGTGTTTAAATAGTGATTAATTAAGCTGTTTTCAACCCGATTGTTGTTGTCTTTGTTTACAATGGATGTTATGTATGAGCGCCACATTATTTTTATAATTTATAATGACTATTTATTATGGTAAAATTATTTATAAAGATTTTATAAATGTAAATTATGTAGATGTAAGTATGATATAAATTGTCATAACAAGTTTGCATATATAATTTTATATTATCCTAATGAGATGGAATAATTTTTATTGATTCTTCTCATTTATATGAAATAATAATAAATCTATTTTATAATTTATAATATCGCTGGCGAACTGTTTAAACACTAGTCTCTTCATACTGATTGAAAAATCGTTACCAAATGTCATATTTATACATGTTATTAGTTTTACTAAAAATACATGTTCAATTACTAATGCAAACAAGGTTCACACGAGATGCTATGCGTTAATCATTATTTGGGAAATGCACCAAGAATTTTAAATTTTTCAATACTTTTGTTAGAATTCTTTCACTATTGTTATTTTGAAACATTTATAAATTTTTGACAACAATTAATTAAATTTCAATTGTCTTTGTTTAGTCAAATCCAAAAGGATTAATATTCCCATAGACTTAGCGTTACCCATGTTAACCTTATGGTATAAACATAAGCTGTAATCCCATAGAAATCCATGTTAAAGCGTCCTTGTTTTAAAGTTTTGCCATAGAATTAACATGGTATCTCATGTTAAATCCAAAAGGTGTGTGAGGGAATAGCCGCGCTATCCTATAAATCAGATTCTTCATATACGAATGTGATTAAAAATTAATAAACAAATGTAACACAGCGGTGGTATATGTTAATTACAATTCGGGAATCAATCAGAGATTTCAAATTTTTAGTGCTTTCTTCGGGATGCTTTCAATATTATTATTTTCAATATTTTTAACAATATTTAGCTGTATTTATATTGCCAAATTCGTTTAGTCAAATCCATAGCCACGCAGGGCGGGTAAAACTGGGTAAACGAGGGTAAACTGTAATGTATTGTCTATGGGAGCATAGAGGCAAAGCCTGACTTTTGCGTGTTTTTGCGTGCTCCTGGTCAAATCACATAGAAATTACATTACATCTATATACATAACATTACTCGTAGGATTAGCATTGCTATATGTATTGCTTAGTATTACCTATGTTAAACATATGTCATAAACTTAAGTTGCAATTCCATAGACATCCATGTATAAGCATTCTCCCATAGGCTTAACATTAGTTCCATAAGATTTGAGAAAACATACCTATAACTTTGAGATTTCCTTTCCCATAAGATTAATACTAATTTACTCTTTAAGCAATACCCGAATTGTGGTTAACGTATAGCATCGCTGTATGATTCTTGTTTCTTAGTCGTGGCTAGCATTTGGGATCAAGTAGTGAATAAAATTGGCTAACAGTGTAACTAATATTACAAATTAATTCCATCACATAGGTTTAATATGGGTAATGCTAAGTCTATGGCACTAATCCTACAAGTAATGTTAAGTCTATGGGAGTGATGTCATTCCTATGGAATTTGACTAAATAAAAGGCAATATAAATATAGCTAAATATTGTTAAAACTATTAAAAATTTCTGAAAACAATAATATTGAAAACATCCTGAAGAAGTAATTATAAAATTTGAAAACTCTGATTGATTCCCGAATAATGATTAACGCATAGCATCTCGTGTGAACCTTGTATGCATTAGTGATTGAACATTTAATTTTAGTAAAAACTAATAACATGTATAAATATGACATTTGGTAACGATTTTTCAATCAGTATTAAGAGACTAGTGTTTAAACAGTTCGCCAGCGATAATTTATAACAATAATATATGTATTGATTATCCAACACAATCATTAAATAATATTAGTCAATATCTTGGTTCATTTCCACTATGTAAGATAACAAATACTTATTAAACATATAAATGAATAAACATTTATTAAACATTTTAAACAGTAAATATAAAGTAGTCACCAACATTAGCATCAATGATCTTTTTTGAGGCATATACTAAAGGGTCCGGGCCCGGAAAACATTTTTTCTATATACGGCAATACCAATATTTTGACGGTCGATCGGTCGACCCAAATGCCGATCAAAGTGGGCCCGGATGACACGGGCCCACTACTTTTCCGTCATTTTTCACATTTTCACGGAAAAATTTTTATCAAAAAATTTAATTAAAAATTAATTAATTTAATGAAAAATTAATTTAAATGAATTAAGGGAGGTGTAATTTACAGTAAAAACAATTAAAAAATTTTCCGTGAAAATGTGAAAAATGACGGAAAAGTAGTGGGCCCGTGTCATCCGGGCCCACTTTGATCGGCATTTGGGTCGACCGATCGACCGTCAAAATATTGGTATTGCCGTACATAGAAAAAATGTTTTCCGGGCCCGGACCCTTTAGTAT